ATAAATAGGACACACATGTGTAAATACCAAATAGTTTCTCTAGTGTGAGAAACTGAAAGTGTAAATAAGGACTAAAAGGTGTAATAGATAACGTGAAATAGGAAGAAAAGGGGCAAAGGGGAAGTGGAAGTGGGAGGGTTAGGGGAAAGGAAAGAAGGGAATGGAGTTAATATGAGTAAATGAAAAAATGGAAACAAAGTCTTTGTAAATAGGGAGAGATGGAGGAGTTGTACGGAGGGCAGGGAAGGGGGAAAAAATAAGACCCGATAGAGTATGTAAAGGTGCAAATTTCCAATGATGAATGTCATTATATTGTATAACTAAAATGTACCAATAAAATTAATTTTTAAAAAATTGACTGAAGAATAAAACACATATATACTATTTATGTATATTATACGAGGATGTACTCACGCATGTATAAATAATTTTCTGGAAAGATATTTAATAACTGTTAAAAGTAATTCCCTCTGGGAAAAGGGAATTGGCTAGGAAATAATAATCTTAATTCTAATTTTCTATCTTCACATGCTGTCTAAATTTTTTTTCCCCCTGTATCACTTCTGTAAATGTCAACTTTGGCAGCTTAATAGGCCATTCTTGGTTTCTTCTACTGGAGCTCAGAAAATAGCATCCAAACTGAGACATTTTGGGTTTATAATTAAGAGCACCTGGGGAGGAGTAACTGCAAGGCTACCTCTGAGTTTCCCTTCTCTACCTAAAGAGCCAGATCCACCAAAGAGGAACACAGTCAACTCTAACCTTCTTACTGAAGTGTCACTGATGGAGGAAGAGACGAAAATCAAACACCACACCCAGAGCCCAGAGGCACGTTGCCCCACTCATTCTCTCCCCTGAAAATCACTTACCCCCTTTCTAAAGTCAGCACAACCCCTCTCCTCTCCCCTATGAGGAAGGTACATGAGCCTCACCCATCAGGCACTTCTTTTGAGTTTCACATGTGCATGTTTAAAAGATTAATCTATCTATTGCCAGTTCATCTCAGCAGACTCAATTACCAAGACCTCAGAGGGAAAGTCTGAACTTCCCTATACTTCTGTACATTGTTTAGATACTTCTACTCTACAAAAAATATTTCACAAAAAAAAAAGAAAGAGAAGAAAAGAAAAAAAATGGTTTTGCAGGGCTTGGTAGTGCATGTCTGTAATTTCAGCATTCAGGATGCTCAGACAGGAGGATTACCACAAGTGAGAGCTCAGCCTGGGTATGTAATGAGTTTAAGGCCAGACTGGACTACACAGGAAGACCTTGTCTCAAAAAATCAAAACAAAAAGTTTTAAGTGTTCAAACTTGAAACTGTTGATGATATATTATGCCGCTATGAAAATATATGTTAATAGGCTTTAAAAATTGGTAGTGAATAAAGTAATCATAAGACAGCATGTGACTAACAATAATAAAAAATCAGTATTTAGCACTAATAGAAGGAACTGGGTATGGTGGTGGGACACACTTGTAATCCCAGCACTCAGGAGGCTGAGGCAGGAAGATTGTGAGTTCAAGGCCAACATGAGCTATAGTGTGGGTTAGAGGCCACCCTGGGCTACATGAGACTGTCAGGAAGACAGAAAAAGAAAGGGTGAGAGAGGAGCATAATAATAATATTGTTTTGCTAGCAATGCATCTGTTAATTCGGTCCACGGGTACTTGAAAACGCTCAATGCCCTTTTTAGAGAAATGAGAATTTTTCACATCATCAAGGTGAGAATAACATTTCTACTTCACAATGTTTAAGAGTAGAAAAGTTTACTATTTCAGGAACTAGGAGAACCCAATTTACATCTGGGTTCCCTATGTGCTCGCTTCGGCAGCACATATACAGCTGGGTTCTCTATGGGTGTGACCTTGGGGCAGGTAGCTTTTTCTTTGAGCCTTAGTTTATTCTCCTAAAAACTGGGACCATTCCCACCATATCTTTTTTTCCTTTTGGTACTTGGGATTTTTTCTTTTGGTACAGGGCCTTCCCACTGATCTATACTACACCCCCAGTTTTTCTTTTGAGACAGAGTCTCACTAAGTCACTAAGTTAACCAGGTTTGGCTTAAACTTGCAATTCTCCTGTCTCAGCCTCCCAGAGTGCTAGAATTACAGGTATGTGCCCCATTCCTGGCTCCTGCTAGTTTTAAAAATTCTCCTTGGAATTAATGAGGACCCAGGCATTGGCACTGCCACCAGTAAAGAAAAGCTGGATTTAGGTCTCATTGTGTAGCCCTGGGTGGCCTCTAACTCACACTATATTCCATGTTGGCCTTGAACTCGCTATCTTCCTGCCTCAGCCTCCTGAGTGCTGGGATTACAGGTGTGTCCCACCACCATACCCAGATCCTTCTATTAGTGCTACTACTGATTTTTTATTATTGTTAGTCACATGCTATCTTATGATTAGTTTATTTACTTAATATGTAGTAAGTAAAGCTGGATTTACTAATGGACTTCCACCATGCATGCAGCCACCTGCTCCTTGGTATGAACAGCCTTGCTAGTCTGTGTCTAATCTTTTGGTCAGATGGTTTCCTGGACTTTACATTCATTCTGGAGATTGTTGAAACACTTCAGCTCCACAGAATGGCCTCCTCACATAAAATCCCCACCCCACTGATTGCCCACCATTGGGATAAGAGGGGCTCGGAAGAGCCCACTGAACACCTGAAATGGAAATATATACGCTCTAGCACCAAACCCCTGCTCCTGAGCCCTTCGGCGGCCCTTACCGATGGTGGTCTCACAGAACTTGTCTGCAGCCACCTCGCTGGCAATGTTGGCACCCATCAGCACACTGATGTCAATGCCCATCTTCTCACGGATGATGTCAGAAATGAGTTTCAGCCCCTCTGGGCCCTCGTCGATGCCCTAAGGATGGCAAGAAGTTAGGAGGGAAACCACCAAGCCAAAGAGGCATGACAGTTGCTTTACATGTAATCTACATCCAGCTATCCAATGGCATACACGCTTCGAAAAGTATTGTTATTTATAAGAGAAAACATATACTGCACATGTAATGTGTAAAGAACAATAAAACGAAAAGCATAAAAATACCCACTACTCAGGTTAAGAAATAGAATGTGATCGATACCCAGGATCAAAGAAGAAGGAGAGAAAGGAGAGGAAGAGGAAGAGGAGGAGGGCCATGATGCTTATGGACTCCCTTTCAGAATTTCATGTGCATAAAACAAAATATATGTTATCTAGAAAGCCAATTATATTCAAATAGCTATCAAAATGTTAAAAACCCCAATGGGTGATAAAGCAATACACACACCGTTTTATTCATGCACTTAGAAAAAGATGACATAGTGTATCTAATGATGACCATAATTTCCAGGTATCAATGAACATGAATGGATCTTGAGGGCTGGGGATTTAGCTCAGTGGCCCTGTGCCTGCCTTGTAGGTGCAAGGTCCTGAGTTCAATCCCCGGAACCAAAAAAAGAAAAACAACAACAACAACAAAAAGAATGGATCTTGAGTGATCTGACACTGCTATAACATAATATGAAAGTTCCTGTGCCTTCAAATGTCAAAGAAATGGACACAAGTCCTGCTAATATTACAGTTACTGAAACTCTAGGTGCAGCTAACACTCAAAAATGAAAGAAATGTCCATTTCAGTTAGAGGTTAAAAGGAATAAAAATGCAAAAGTTGGGCTGGGGATTTAGCTCAGTGGTTTTGCCGCCAGCTGTGCAAGCGCAAGGACCTGAGTTCGATCCCCTGTACCAAAAAAAAAAAAAAAAAAAGCAAAGGTCACCCCTCTCCTCAGCAATTAAGTGCATAAAATCCTGGAGGCACTGTGAGGACTTCTAGTTTTAAAAAGCTCGAACTTGAATGTATATATCCAGGAATGGGAATTAATGCTGGTTGGTTTCCCAGCTGATGCAAACCACTGGTAATTTACTGACACAGGCTGAGCCCTACTGAGTGGGTGACAATGTTCTGAGAGGAACTCATCAGAGAGCCTCCCCACATCCCTGCAATGCTGGCCTGCTGCAAAAGGAAGCAGTCTGGCTTTTGTCTCCTAAACTGACCTAAATTAGGCTTGTGGGATATTTATTTACTACCTTCTAGGCATTTTTAAAAACACAAAATACCTGGGTGTGGTGGCACATGCCTATAATCCCAGCACTCTGGGAGGCTGAGGCAGGAGGATCACAAGTTCAAGCCCAGCCTGGACAACTTAGCAAGCTCCTGTCTCAAAATAAAAAAAACAGGGGATGGGGATTTAGCTCAGTGGTTTTGCTGCCTGCTGCGCAAGTACAAGGACCTGAGTTTGATCTCCGGTACCAAAAAAAAAAAATTACA